AAGGCGTGATCGGTCACGTTTTGGTGGCACCGGTCAAACAAGAAGCACCTCTGGGCGTATCCTCTCGAGGTTGTTGACAGGGGTGATGTGTCCTCTTTCTGGGCCGTCCTTGGGCGCGAGTGTCCGGAGGCTGTGCCGGTGGACGACGATGCCAATGACGACAACAGCTGCGTCAAGGGCAATGCGACAAGCTTGGTTCAGTTCCTGGCATCGACAGATTGCGGCGCCGCCATCGACCAAGCGGTGGCCATGGGGTGCAAGCACTTGCGAATGTACGGGGTCCGCAAGTGGGTTCATGACACGGTGGCTGTCTTGGGCATGTCCGCCAGCTACGAGTGGCTGAACGCAGTCATTGCCACGGCCATCGCGTCGAACAAGAACGACACACCGTTCAAGCGGCTGGCATTTATCGGTGACACGGTGCTCACCCTTATGGGTCGGATGCAGCTGTTCTCACTCGAGGACAGCGCCATGGATGTGGGTCCGATGATGAGCGCCATGCAGGACCTGGAGTCACGGGAAGCGTGTCAACAGTATCTCAAGGCCACTGGCATGGATGATGTTGTGCTTTCGGACTCGTACGATATACAAGCCGAGGCCATCTTGGGTGCCATCTACCTGCTATATGGCCTCGACGACATCGAGCGCGTCTGGCGTATGTTCGTGTCGACAGTTGGTAGACGATGCGGCGCCGAGCGGCTCAAGCACTTCAGCGCTGAGAAGTGGCAAGCAGGAGAGGCAGCAGACCGTGACGACTCGTTCGATGGAATCCGTGGCGGCCTGGCAGGGAGCCGAGCTCGGAGTTCCAGACTCTGATGTCAGCCGGCACCATCGGAGAGGTGATCAACTGCTGCACCCAGCCTTACCCCCCCGGCTCGATCGACCGCACCCGTTCTTGACAGCCCCAACTGCGACCCCCCCTTCCGGCCTGATCCACCGCCGACCAGGTCTCACGGGGCTGCTGGGCTCGATGCAGTGGCTACGCGCTTGCGAGTCAGCGTGGTGACCAAATCGAGGCGATCCGGGCCGAGCAGCTGCCGCCAAGGCGAGCCTCGACGAGGACGCAGCGATCGGCAGACGCGGATGAGATGGACGAGGCCACGGCGGGTGTGGTGTTGTGACAGAAGCGTCGATGTGCCAGGGTGGTTGGCGCGCATGATCGGAGAATGAGCCTGCTGCTAGGTTTGACGGTGCTGTTGACGACGAGCGTGAGCGCCGCGGGCGCAGCTGATGAGGTTGTCGCGGGCGATGTGGCGGCTGATGACGACTTTGGTGAGTGAAGCTGATGGCGACGACGTCAGAGTTGGTCTTCTGCGAGGCACGGCGGACGGATGGACACGATTGTCGGCGAGGGGGGAGCGACGATGCTGGCGTGATCGTGCGGTCTGACCCCCCTGCTGCGATGCCGTCGCAGCTCGGTGACTGCGCCTGCCATTTTGATTGTTAGTATTGTTAGAGCCTTCATCCAACGGATAGCGGCAGAGAGTGGTGTGAAAGGGTGGTACTGTCTGCGTCATGGAAGATGGGATCGGGCTGATGACCATGGTCCTCCGTGCGGCTGTCGCTGTGGGTGTTTGTGTTCAGAGTAGCTAGGGCGAGGGAGGGTGAGGGAGCGGTCGGCCAGTCGTATGCAAGTTGAGATGGCGATGGAAGGCGGGCATCAGCTTTGTTGAGTACACAGAGGGGGTTCATGGCAGCCAGCTCGCCGACGAGGGATCTGCGGTCGTTTGATTTGGGGGAGGTGAGGCCCATGGGATCGGGATCGTTTGTGGTTGGCTTTTTAGCGTTGGCCTTGGGGGCGTCGGATGGGTGGCTGAGGAGGCGATTGGAGGCCGATGCGAAGGTGGGGTGGTAGATCGGGCTGGAGAGGATGTCCAGCATACGTGTGTGTGAGTGGGCTGTGTGCTCGTTTGCTGGGAGCTGGCGCGGCATGTGTGGCTCGGGTGTGGCGATGGGAGAGGGAATGGCTGAGGTCCGACTGAGGCATGGATGTGGTGAGAGCGTGCGCGATCTGGCGACGACGAGGCTGTGGAGCGGTGATGGCATGTGCTCGCTGTCGTCGAGCAGCCCGACGTCCCATTGGTCTGGGCGGAGCAGGGCAGGTCTTTGTTGCTTCCGCTGTTAGCTTGATGGCGAGCTAGAACTGCAGCGCGTTATCGAGGAAGGACGACGACGTTGCATCGACCACCAGGGCGGTTGTGCCCAGGCAGCCGTGCGGCTGTGGTGGACGGAGCGTGATCGGCTTGTTGTTTGCCCAGCCCATGAACGGCGGCGTAGCAATCGGCATGCGCAACGCCTCGATGGCAGAGATCAGATTGCGGCCGCGGGGCGTGAGCCAGGGTGCGTGTGCGGGCGGCGGCGACGAGGACAACGAGCGAGGGACATGGGTGGGGTTGGCAAGGTACGTCGTTGTCAGGTAGAGGTAGCACGACGCCCAGCAAAGAAGAGCTGGCCGGCTGCCCTCGCTTGATCGAGGACGGTAAGGAGGACTGGCGGAGGCGGTGGGGAGCTGCGGGGGAGATCGGGATAAAGGAGGACAGAGTGTTGATGTGCGATGAGAGGGGCGAGGGTGATTGGATTGCAGAGTACGGTTACGGTTGGGCATGGATGGTTGAGCAGCAGCAGGTGATGGGGGTTGATGGGATGGATGGTGGGGCGTGCTGGTTGCGGGAGAGCGATGACGGTTGTGTGGCGGATGTGCGAGGCATAGTTGTGCTCGGCGCATGTGTCTGGGTCTCATCTTCAGCAGCTGGAGGGCGCAGGCAGCGCCATCTGGCAATGTGTGGATGGCAGGCAGGTCGCGGACGACGGCCAGTGCATGTGGGTGTTTGGGCTGGGACTGGGATGGGTGGTGTGTAGGTAGGTGATGGTTGATGGCGGGGGGTGGGTGGTGAGGTTGTGTGATCAGGTGAGAATTTGTGATCAATGGCTGGCTGGGGTGGTGGGGTTGGTGGGATGTGGGTATGGCGAGCAAGTGGATGTGGATGCATGCATGTGTGTGTGTGTGTGGGGGATGTGTGTGGTACTGATGATGATGCTGGTCGGCCTCGCGACGGCTGGCGAGTGATGGCAAGCGTGTGGAGGCTGGACGGGGGTGGTGCAATAACCATAATCAACCCCCCCAGACCCCGACCAACGAATTCCGACCAAGTGGGCCACCTCACCACCCCATCACTCCCGTCGATCTCACGCATACCCACAGCCACCACAAACCAAGTGGTTTGTCAATTTCTGTGGCCAAACTCGTGGTGGGGAGAGAACTGCTATCACAATGTGTGAAGCTGTGGGGCAAGGGCTGGTCTTTGAGATGTGGAGTACGCGGTAGTCACTTGCGTGGATCCTCTGTAGATGACTTTGTTCGCATGGGGAGTTGTAGGAAGCTGAGTGGCCGAGTTTGCCACGAACTTTTGAGACCTTGCCCTATCTTTTTAGAGTATGCGATTGATCTTTGCCCCCCTGGGGTTGGGCCGTGGCAACCGAGCGTCAGCGAGGTTGGTCAACGACCGAGCGTCAGCGAGGGAGTTGCGGCCGAGACCGAGCGTCAGCGAGGTCTTGGTAGTGAGCGTCAGCGAGGTCTTGGTACCGAGCGGTAGCGAGGTGAGTGAGCGGTAGCGAGGGGAGTGAGCGGTAGCGAGCGGTAGTGAGCGAGTGGTAGCGACCGACTAACCGACCGACCGACCTACCGACCGACCGACCAACCGACCGAACGCCAGCGGGGTCTGGGGACAGGCAACCATCCATCAACGGGCCCACCCCAAGACCCAGGGCAACACCATCGTCGAGCCAGCGCAGCGCAGCGGGGGGTCCAGGGGGGCGGCAGCCCCCTGGGGAGACAGACATCATCGGGATGCTGCGGATGATAGAGGACACCACCAACACCACCTCCCCCCCCTCTCCCCCTCACTTGTCCTTGCCCTTGTTCTTGTCTTGGACAATCCAGACTTGGGCCCGGCCACTGATCGAACCGTCACTCGTCAGTCAGTCAATCAATCAATCAATCACTCGGTTGGTCGGTTGGTTGGTCGGTTGGTTGGTCGGTTGGTCGGTCGGTCGGTCGGTCGGTCGGTCGGTCGGTCGGTCACTTGGGCAAGCACAGGCTGGTTGCCCTCGAGTAGTAGAGGCCAGTCAGACAAGTTGGGCCTGGCGCAAGCAATCATCAGCAGCACCAGCACCAGCACCAGCACCAGCAACAGCATCGGCAGTCAGGCGTGGGGGTAGAGTAAGGGAGGGAGGGAGAGAGCAGGAGGGAGCAGGGGGAGGAGAGGGTAGAGAGGAGATGATGAAGACAGGGAGAGGGGGAGGAAGAGTGGGTGAGTGGGGGGAGAGGGAGAGGAAGATGAAGAGGGAGAGTAAGAGGAAGAGGAAGAGGGAGAGAGAGGAGAGGGAGGAGAGCAAGAGCAAGAGCAAGAGCAAGAGCAAGAGGTAGATTCATCATGTCAGGGTGGGCATGTGAGCTCATCAGGCGGCGAGGCGGGTGCCGGCGAGGCAGGTCCGTCCAACGCGCACGCAACGCCGACACCATCAAGACCACAAGCCAGCAAGCAACACTGGTCATGGTCGTTGCCGTCCACCTCTCACCCTCCCTCTCGTCGCGCTCCTCGTCGTCGTCCATCTCGCCGTGCCCGTCGTCAGCGCCCCATCGGCAACTCGATCGCACTTGGGCCCGGTCAGTCATGGGGGGAGAGCCTTGTCCTCGGCCAGCCAGACTTGGGCCCGGTCTCAATCAGCAGCGACGCAGGCGGGCAGCCGTAGCTGATGGCGTGGGCCGAGGCAGTTGTGGGCTGCGGGGCGGGGTGAAGCAAGGGAAGGCTCAGGTCAGGCCATGGTCATGGCTGGGTCATCGTCAGTCGGTGTCGATGTCGGTGCCGGTGAGGGGGGAGTGGGAGTGGGAGTGGGAGGGGTCGGCGGGCGGCGGGCGGCGGCCGTGGTGGAGGAGGTGGAGGCGGCAAGAACAACGACGACGACGACGACGACAATCACTCGCACCAGGTCAACTGTATCTGCCTCCCCTCCCACTCGCTCTTTTGCTCACGCTCGCCCCTGCCATCCCGATCTCACGCCCTCATCCTCGACCTCAGCCTTGGCCCGCCCGCTCGCTCGCTCGCTCGCCTTGGCCATCGCTCACTTGGGCCCGCCCGGCAGTGATCCGGCACCGATGGTCATCCACACCAGCGGCCTCCCTCCCGGCATATAGTTCATTCATTCCTCTCCCTCGCCACTCCCCTCTCCTTCTCCCTCTCCCTCTCACTCCCCAGCAGTCGCAGCCTCGGCCTCAGCTACGGTCACCGCCTCACCTCGTCGTCCGCCATCGCCACCATCACTGCCGCCGCCGCAACCATCATTCACATCACCAACCATATCCATCCCCCATCCCCATCATCCCCCATCCCCATCACCATCACCATCAACAACTCGGTCATCGCCGCCTCAAGCTCATGCTTGCTCATCTCCAGCACCACCAGCAGCAGCACGGCGCCCATGCCGACGAGTGCTGACCGACGAGTGGCTGGCCGTCACTCGACCACTCGCACCTCGCCCACAGCACCAGCACCAGCCACCAGCCACCACCACACTCATCTCACTCTAGCCATCTACACCCC